TTAACTCCACAATAAGAACAGGATTGGGGGAAAATGTCTAAAAGCATTTTCCTTTAGATTTAAACATAAAAAAAGCAGGAAAAGCTCAGATTCCTGAGCCCTTTGAACACAACAATGGTTTTCCTTAATCTAAAAACCTAAAAAAGCTACATTTTCAATGATTTTCCAGAGATTTCCCCAAAGATTTTCCATTTAAATGGATCCCACACAGTATCCTCTCCTTTCTCAGGTCACATGGGACAGCAGCCCTGCTCCCATTGGCCCGTTTGGATCACATGAAAGCATTTTCCTTTAGATTTCAAACAGTAGTGTCTGATAGCGTCTGCTATGAGGCCCAGAGGTCAAAGGTCAAAGAGAAAAGCAGGATCCTGGTACAGAGGCAGAAAGGCAGCGTCCTCCATTAGAACAGGAAATCAGGAGGTTAAAACAGAGTATAAGATAACGGTAACTGTAGTATATTTTCCTGATTTAATCAACTTTATGAAGTCAACATTTGTAAATATGAAGTTTTATGATGGAACTACCTTGGTTCCTGGAAGGCCCTCCCCTGGAGGCCCGGTGGACCCTTGTACTCCCGTAGGTCCAGCTGTTCCCTAAATACAAGACAAAATACTTCAGACATTTATAAAGATCTGAAAGGAATCGTAATATGGGCTACACAATTATTTATATGTTTCATTTTGGACTTGACCTGAACTGGAAGTCAAAGTCCCAAAGAAGCATTAAAAAAAAAATCTAATTTATACAACTTTATACAAAATTGTGAGTTTTACTTTGAAATTTGAATTGAAATATTCAAATACCAAAAGTATTTTGATAGATTGACAAATTCAAATAGAAAATGTACTTATAAGACATTAAATTATATATTTTTATCGGATTTAATTATTTATACAAGTGTGAGTTATACTTTATTATTCGAATTGAAATTTTTTAAAAGCATTTTCATATTTCATCTAACTTTAAATATCTTTATAGATTGACAAATTCAAATAGGAAATGTATCACATTTAAGTACAACAAAGCACCAGGTTTTAAAAAGGTGCCAATGCAAACTAAAGATGTCATAAAAAGAAATGGAAACATCTGAGATGAAATGTATGAATACGGAATATAAACAGAGAATTTGATAGAAGCTGTGAGCTCTGTAAATGTATTATTATTATTTATTTTATTTATTCATATAGTTATTTATGTATTTATTTGTTTTTAAATTTTTAAATTTTTAAATTTTTAAATTTTTAATTTTTTTAATTTAAATTTTTTTAAAATTTAAAAACTTTTTCAATTTTCAATTTTTCAATTTTTTTCAATTTTTTTCAATTTTAAAATTTTTCAATTTTAAAATTTTAAATTTTTAAATTTTTAAATTTTTAAATTTTTAAATTTTTAAATTTAATTTAATTTTTCTTCTGTGAACTTATTCTGACGGAATAGGATCAGCTCCTAAACCAGTTCCGGACTCACAGGCCTCCCCGGTTCCCCGGTCCCTGCCGGTCCGGGGGGTCCGGGTCTCCCCTGGTTCCCCTTATCTCCCTGAACACAAACATAAAAACAGACACAACCACGGTAAACATGCAAAGCAAGGCCACAGTCTTTACTTAGATCACATTAAAGGCTTTAAAACTTCACCTTAGATCCAGGGAGTCCCACTCCGCTTTCTCCCGGAGGTCCCAGTGAACCCTGGGGACCACGGTCCCCCTTCCAGGGAAAGAAAACAAACGCATTCAAGTTCTATCCAGCAAAGAAATCAACTTAAATTAACTTAAATTAACTTAAATAGTCGGTGTCCATACTTTAGGTCCAGGAGTCCCCTCTGGACCCGGATCTCCGGTTGCTCCTCGGGTTCCCTGATAGAGGAACAAAACAAGAAACAGCTAAAAGTTGGATGCAAAGTTTCAAACAGAGCTCAGAAAACTTGATTTAAGTGTCATGCAGATATTAAGTTTGTTGGTTTTATTAAAGAGTTTCTTTCTCTGGGTTCAAACCAACAAATCCAGCAGCGGGACATGAAACGTGATCATGTTTCTTTCACTGCTTTCCCCCAAAACATTGGACACAAACCTGGTGGATTTATTATTTGAGGACAGTTTCTAAACGATAAAATGTCTGTGATTACATCGTAATTAGCAAGGAATCAAAATCATGCTGTGCCTTTAATCTGTGACAAATGTGGTGCATAGTGGAAGCTATAAAAAGATGCTACACATATCACAGGTGTTATAATAATAGTAATAATAATAATAATAATAATAATAATAATAATAATAATAATAATAATA